ACGACTGTTGTCACAGTGTATTACAGATTGCTTAATATACTAGAAACCTGCTTACAATACAACATTGTGAGCTCAACAAAATGCATTTTCTAGTTTGACTGAGAAGATAAGCAATCTATAAGAAAAAAAATACAAAATAAGAACAAAAGACATAGTCACTTTATTAGAACAATTTCCTAGTTGCCAACGTGTTAAAATCACACACATCAGCGTAACATCATGGAGCAAATGTGTTTGAGTTTTTTGGTTACAGGATTTCATCATGAGCTGACATTGGTCAGAGAACCATTGGGAAACCTGGGAATATGGGATAGCTGTTTCCGTTGTCCTAGTTTGGGACTCTTCATCAGTACGCACCCACTGGGGTTCGAACCCAGGACCTTCTGGTTACAAGGCGAGCTCGTTTGAATTTTTATTTCTCCTGAAATATCTGCTTTAATTAATTATGCGTTTTAGTGATAGCTGCTTTTGAGCAGTTTACAGTGTGATACTGTTTCCGTTTGCTTTGTTTTCTCCAGCGCTGAATACCTACGAATATATTCAACTGCTTAATTACTCTGCATACTGATGCGGAATAATGTTTCAGATAAATGCCTAATGGACTGTGATATTGATTTCATTTGGCGCAGTTTATAAATCAATAAAACACAACTGTAATTAAACAGGACTGACTGCAGCACTGGGTGACGTGGGTTCGAGTCTTGGCAGGGACGGGAGTTTTCCTTCAAGGTTGCAGATACGCCTTGCTGACTGAATACTGGTGAGCGCCAAGTAGCACGAAACCTAGGTCAGGCTGGGCTTCTTATGGTCGATTGCCTCCAACCATCTAGTATTATCAAATCAATGTGTGCACCGTGATGGCGAACTACCTAGAATGGTGGCCACATTGTAAATCTGACTGACTGATAGAATTCAGTCTGCACCATAGAAAGGACTAGACACGCCATAATAGTTACTAGTGTCCAATCAAAGAACTGTAAAGTGGTAAACGATCTAAATTTTCTAAGTGTTTAGGATAATCTGGGAGGGCAGAAACAAAAGAGAAGAGATGGAGTCAAAAAAGTCTTAACAATAAGAAGAGGAACAAGGAACCATCATCAAAGACCACAAGAAAATTCATCCTGCCATATATAAAAAATACCTCTGAAATAACAGCTAGAATATTGAAACCGTTTGATATAGATATAGCACACAAGCCTGTCAAATCGCCTAATTCTATATTATACAAACCGAAAGATCCAACAGAAAAAGGAGATAAAATTAATATCATTTACAAAATAAATCGCACGTATGAACTGTAACAGGCATTACATTGGTCAAAGTGTGTGTCCCCTTCGAATCAGAATCCGGGAACACAAATCAGCTGTGAAAAGCATGATACATATTCTTTCATATCAATGCATATCTGTCTGTCTGTTTTCAACATAGAACTTTGCACAGATGTGTGGCAGTTCAAGTCGCCACACTCCATATAGCACACAAAGCAAGAGAAGAAAGTGGAAGAAATGCATAACAGATACAGTAAACAGTGGTGTGAGACAAAGGAATAGTAGTAACGAAGAACAATATAGTTTCATTGGAAATCATAAGTCACAAGGAGTGGATGCATCTGAACCATCCATTGTGAACGATTTTGAACCGGCCATATCACCAATTGTTTCCAACCATTGGTTTATACCGTCCCGAGGACCCCAACCAGCAAGTCTACACCTTCCTACGTGGCTAGCTTAGACTAACTGTTGTAGATTTCATTGACTGGTGCCATGATTGGTTTGACCCCGCTAGCTCTTTTCCAGCCTGACTCTATATCAGCTAACATTGCCCAACGAGGAAGGCGATGACTAGGCATACGTAGCACATGTCCTAACCAGCTCAGTCGATGTAATTTCACAGCCTCGTCGATTGACTTCTCCTACTTACCTAGCACTCAACCGGAGCCTAACCTTTATATTGCTCACCTTATTATATCACTTCAAACGGGAGATTGAACGCAGACACCTCTGATCGAAGACAGCTAATCTTTTCATGTCTTCCTATCAATGGATATAGATAATTATGGACATCAGTTCGATTGGGATAATGTCGAAATTTTAGACAGAGGAAACACTAAAAGTGCCTGGGAATTCCTAGAAGCCTGGCACTCAAACGGAAATGTAATTAACAAACACGTTAATATAGACGAAATATACGAACTAATAAAAAGTAGATCATGTAACGAGAAAGCTTAAAATCTAAGTCAATAGAAAATGGTCAATACAGATGTAAAGATGGTTACTGGGAGACGCAATTATATCACTCATGAAGAAATTTAAATCATTTTACTTTATGCTTAATGTTGCGCTGAAAAGGGATGTTGTCCAGAAGGACGACGAGAGCTCCTCCGCAACTAAACCTACCAGTTCAGAGAACACTATTACTTGCAAATCATCCAACTGAGCTATAAATCTTCTCTATTATTTCAGAGTCACTCTCTCTCTCTCTATATATATATATATATAAATATATAGATGTATACATATATATATATATACATCGAAACCAACAACCTAGAAGTTCCTCTCCCAATAAACTACCTGAAGGAACTTCTTCTCAGATGTACGTTTAATATTCAGTTCAAATTCAATGAAAAGTTCTATGAACAGAAAGATGGGGTAGCCATGGGTTCGCCTCTCGGTTCACTCCTAGCCGACTGCTTTATGGCGAGTCTCGAAAAACAACATCCTCAATCCCTTGATAAGTCAACTGCACTTATACAAGAGATACCTAGATGATACGTTTATAATCTGTGATGAAAATTGTGATTTAGATTCTCTCCTCAAAACCTTCAACGCAGCGCATCCATCAATAAGTTTCACCTTAGAACGGGAATCGAACAACGCATTTCCATTCCTCGATGTACTACTCACCAGAAGACGTGACTGTACGATCCAAAGATCGATATGTATCGCAAGCCAACACGGATTGGACAGTTTATCAACTTCCGGAGCTTTGTCCCACTGATCCGAAAGCGAAACCTGGTACGTACATTATATTCAAGGATTAGAAAAATCTGCTCAGAACACATAGTAGAGAAAGAAGGAAATTTATTACGTAAAACCCTACTAGAGAACGGGTATCCACCAAGATTTATTGATAAAACATGAAGGAGAAGCCTCCGATGTCAAACATCAAAACCGTTCCTAAGAGGACTCTCTTCATGAACCTAGAATTCAAAGGTGACATCGCAGCGGAAATTCTCAGAAACCGCCTTTCTAAATGTCTGAAGAAGACATTTCCAACAGCCACCCTACGTATCACATTCTCTTGCAGACAGTTAATCCAGTCTAACCCTAAGGACAGGATACCGCTTTTGACCACTTCAATGTGTATTTATCAGTTTAGTTACTCGTGTGGAGCAAAGTATATCGGCCGTACGCAACGTCAAGTCCACAAAAGTATTCTGGAACACTGTCCAGCTTGGTTATCCAGAAGAGCAAAATAAGAATAGCAACAGCTCGATCCTCGAACACCTTGTCATCTCTGGACATCGAGCACACCCCCCCCATGAATGCTTCACAGTGCTACACAGAGTCCCTCGATATCGTACAAAGGGACTTCGAATATTCCATTTGTACATAGCTGAAGCATTAGCTATTCAAGATCTGAAACCGGACCTCTGGCCATGCCATGGCCAGAGTAAAGCTCTTACTAAAATTTTGCTTCTTTCCTATATTATGTAAGTCCACTATTATCATTATTATATTTTATTAATACTTTTATTATCGCTATTATTCCCATCATCCACATTTTATTACCTCTCTATTACTGTTTATTAATAACATTGCTTTTCATACACATTTTATACAAAAACACTTTATAGCCTTTCCACTAGTTCCTATCCATTCTACACGAGCTTATTGATTATTCATTATCTCACACTTATTACGTCATGCCAACTTCTGTCTCCTTTCTAACTTACAATTAGTCATCCCTTCTTACACCTTACATTATGTAATACAGTGTTTACGAGTTGATCACGGACTGATATCAGGGAGTACTGGACAGCTACTGTTTCATCCTAGTTTGGGAATCATCGGCAGTACGCACCCACTGGGATTCGAACCCAGGACCTTCCGGTTACAAGCCAGCAAGCTCGTATACCATACAGCCACTGGGACCCGATTCAATGGCTCATGAATTCTAACTTCTACTAATTCGTGATTTAGCGTGACCCCAACCATTGTCGTTGGTGGGACATCCATCCACACACGTGACATCTAATTGGACCTCACTGGTCACGACTTCTCACTAGAACTCCAGGAAACTCCATCCTGTAGCAAGTCACTAGCGATGGTTCAATGGTTCTCTAACTGATATTAGTCCGTGATCAACTCGCAGAAATATAACAAACCCTTACAAACCAATCTATAGGTAATACAATTTTCAAAGGACATAATTTACCAGTATCTGATTGGTCAAAATATTTCTTTGTTAATTTTAATTACGATTGTACAGCTCATCAAAAACTCAAACCCACTCTTTGTATCCAAAAGAAATACGTCCAACCCCTGTCCCTGCCATGGCCATCATAAACAGGTTAATTTTTAATAATGATCATTACATAGCCTTTCTTATCTAAACTTCCTGTTTATTCATGTTATTTTAAGTTTTCATCATCCCTGTCTACACTACCATATTTTCATATCCACATTTCCAGTTTATTTTGTCATTTTACTATTTCTACATATTTAATCCCTGATTGCATAAACAATTATTCATCACACTAGTTTCTTATCAAAACATCCTGTATATTTTGTTATTTTTACATTTCTAACCCCCAATTGCACAATGTCACTCTTCTTAGTTATCATAATGCTACTTTGTTTGAGTTTCTATTCCGTCCCCCTGTTTATTATGGCATTCTAATTCCTATTTGAAAATGAATCGTCGAAAAGAAAATTTTCTTCGCTGTTTGTACCTTTTTCATATATATATATATTTTGAAGAAGACGTATTGTTCTGTAAATATTTGAATTTTATGTAAGGAAGTCGACATTTGTTTTCAAAAAGATGTTAATTTCAATACGTAAAAATAAGGTAAATCACTCATACAAAGATTGGAATGAACATGATAATAATAATAATAATACACGAGCATGAATTTAGAACTAGAAGCTGACATTTTAATCGATGTATGCATATATGTGTATCAGGTTTTTATTAAAAGGTTTACAAAGCCGAAAATTCGAAAATATATCTATGTGTATGTATATGTATTTATATGTATATAAGTCGTTTACGTGATCTAGCATAACACTTGCTTGGTGCGAAATGTTTTTTTGCAATCATCATCATAGCAGCTTGAACATGAGAGGCAGAAATGCATACGGTATCATCAACGCGTTAGACCACCCCAGCGGAAACGAATCATCATCAGTGTTAGAGGTTGTCAGACCACAGTTAAGCGAGAAAGAAAAAGTGATTGAACTGAATGCAGAAATGGTGATTTAATTATACAAATGTGGAAAAATAGAAATCAATACAAGTAGTAATAATAACATGGAAAAGGCACCTTTATAAGATGGCTAGAAGATATATCTCTTCAGCATATACACCGACTGAATCGAGATGATAGTCGATAAGTTCACAGCAAAATTATTTCAGCACCTCTATTGGCAATCAGAGAGAGGAAGAGAGGGAGAAATTCAGCTCAGAGAAAAATAGTATTTTACTACAAAAGTTTATGATTTTCTGGTTACTCATAGAAGAAGAAGAAGAAGGGAAGAGTGTTCAGTCCACGCGACTGGCTATGTTCAGTTATTATAATTGACTTTTAGTATAATATATGCTACTGTCGTCGCCTGTTTTTGTGTAATAACACGATTCTGGAGAGGAAGTCGGTCTTCGATAGTCGTCAGTATCAATGCCTTCAGTTTCATCGTCTTCTTCATCGATAGTATCAGTTGTGCGGACTGTGGACAAGGCACTGTCAGACAGTGAAGTTGATATAGTGGTTGGCTCGGATTCTTTATTCACAGTGACTTTATTCAGCGTTAACCGTTCATTCGGTGCCGGTTCATCTTTCGTGCGCTTATTCTTCTTCAGTTTCATTTCAGCTAGACGATGTTCCATTTCACTGGCATTGACACGATACTGGGCCAACTCCATACTGATGTGCGTTGTCCGACGTTTATTCTGCTTGGCGTACTTTTGTGAATTCGGTCTATCTAGTTTGTTCAACATGACATCTTGTTTCTCTTTGTCGTTTAAATTCGATGCATTAATTATACTACTGAATTCTTTCAAATAAGCAGCTGCATCCAACTTGATAGCAGGTTCAGATAGCGCTCTTGATCTTGTAGCTTTTGCGAGTTTGTCGTCAGACAGGGAATCTGAAAACTGGGAATCAACAATCTCCCATTTTGAACCGAACGGTAGAGTCTTAGTGTGCGGTACACCGCGCAGCATACTCTCATATCGTGTCACTTCGTCTTCATAGACACGGATATATTCGATCGCTAGGCAAACACTACTGTGATAACGATACAGCATAACCATGGGCAGCGCCACACTAATATAAATGAACAAACTTTGCACTTCATTTTTCTCCAAATGTTCACTGTTGAAACTCAGCAGAATATTGTTGTGTTTTGCCTAATATTTTGTAAAAAGAGAGTATAAATTTAAAATATAAATAATACATTTTGGGACAAAAAAATTATAAATAGTCACACTACGGTTAATTGAAGTATTTTATAATTACGGGAACCTAATAGGACCTTGAATACATTAAAGGCGAAAACTCTCAACTGATTAACTATACTTACTGTCAAACTAACTGCAGGGGTAACATGCAACTACTTTACTGATTAGGTCAAAAAATCGAACACTTACAAGCAAAAACCGACAAACTGGTAGAAAAAACAACAAAGACAGGACTCCAGGTGAACACAGACAAGGCGGAGGTTACGAAAATAACCAACCAACAACAACAACAGCAACATCCAGTGCCAATCACCATCAACGGGAGGGATTTGAAAGAGGTTACTTCATTCACTTATCTACGGAGCACTGTCTCAACTACAGGAGGAACCGACGAAGATGTCAAATCGAGAATCGGGCTGGCGAGAAACACATTCATCAACCTGAAACCAATCTGGAAATCTTCGTCAGTCAGCCTGCATCAACAACAAAGTGATTCGGATTTTCAATACAAACTTCAGTCAATTCAGTTTTGCTATACGGATCAGAAACTTGGCAGCGGGTCACAAAGAATATTTATTTCCAACAGCCTGTTGCACACCTTTATCAACAACTGTCTTCGTTCTATACTGATGATCAGATGGCCGGAAAGAATCACCAACAAGAAACTATGAGGACAAACAAACAAAACAAGAACCAATCGCCGAACCGACCAAATATGCAGGAGAAAGTGGAGATGGATTGGACACTCGCTCAGGAGGCCACTGGGTGACATCGTGCGTCAGGCCATCACTCGAGTGGAACCCGAAAAGGAAGTGGCGAGTGGACGTCCTCGGGTGACATGGAGGAGATCGTGTGAAGAGGAGCTGAAACAGTATGGAATAACTTGGATGCAAGTGAAAAGTACAGCAGAAGACAGAAGCAAGTGGAGACGTGAAGTTGAAGCCCTATGTTTCACTAGGAACCCAAGGGAACAATAATATTAATAAAATAATGCCATCTTAGCAACAAAAGAAAATTTTTAATGACGCATTCTTGGCCACATATTCTGTCGCTGAGAAAATGTATTTTTATGACTATGTGGCTTAATATTTTTTCAACTAATGAGACAACATCAATTACATCATATGGAATGCATAAGCAGTAACAGATAATAATAGAACACTGGCGATATCTGTACCAAAGCTGAAAATACAACCAGTATGATATCAGACGAAAAGAATGGGAATCTGTTAAATGCATATTTAATTACTTCAATGTCGAAATGACCTAACATTAAAATAAAAATTATTAAAATTATGCTACTAATAAGTAGTTAATCGACTCTCACAAAAATAAAACGTTGTGAGGCAGAAAATTTCGGTTCCACAAACAACCAATGGGGAAAGTTAGAATTGAATTTTAAAAAAAAAGTAAGTAATAGTAAAAAACTCACCTGAAAACTGTATATCATCCACAGCGAGAAGTTTATAGCGGATAATAATGCGATCATAGCTCGACCTGGCTTGCATTCTTGATATGATTTATCATGACAACAGCGATAGAATAGATCATTAATAAAATAGTTCTGTACAGTAACTTGTACTAATTCCAATAGCACTGTGAATAAGTGCAATTTAAGGCGTTGTTGTTGTTGAACATCACTGGATGCTTTATTCAACAGAAAGATTATATTCAAAACAGCACAAGCAACTAAGAAGGAGACAGTCATAAAAAATGTTACAATTAATAATTTACTGTCTAAATTTTGATTGGAAAAATTTACAGAGAATTTCAGGCGACGTGTACTACAGATACCAGAAACACAGAATATCAAAGCCATGATGAAGAGAATGCTAGTTTCCGTGGAATGAGCAATATAAGCATTACCGTGAAACTTTTTACCCCATATCTCTAATAGCATTACAATACCCATGACGATACAAATGATAATTGTTCCGATAATAATACCAATGCACCCACGATCAATTAACTTCAAACTGTGTTCTTTCTTTTTCTGATAAATTAAAATGAAAAACAAAAGGAGATGAAGAAAGTACGAGAAAAAACGAAAACGAAACAGTTAATTGGATTAGTTCGAATTAGAAAAAAAACAAAGTAATTTGGAAGGCATAATTACAATTGGTATACTTTAAAAAATTGAACAATTAATTCAAATTAAATATGCACAAATCTAAAATTACGATATAAGTTATGGTTTTACCAGACTAAGCATCTTGAATTTGCTAATCTTCATTCCATTGCGTCTGGAATAGAGCTAAGGACTTCAAACTGGTGCTGGTTCGCTAGCCTCATGTGCTTCTCGCTATCCTTCACTTACTCTTGGCTAAGCGAAGTTTAGAAGTGTGTCTTCCGAGACCAAATGCGTGGCTGCCGAGCATTCTATCAAAGAATCACCGACTTCAGTTGAATATATATATAGATTTCCAAGTACTGGAATTCCAACTTGAATTGCGATCTTTTCAAAAAGCGAACCAGTTTCCAAAAGAGTTTACCAAAGTTAAAAAAAACTATGTAGGTGACTTAGACGATATCCCGGTAGGTGGCTATCTCTTTCTTTTTTAGCATACATAACACTGCATTGACACAGAATTGTCGACTTAATTTTCCCACTGCTTGAAAGGAAGTCAATCCCCTCGAGGTATTAATGAGAGCGGCTATCGCCTGAAGTACAGCCTTGTGAAATATCCTATTCGCATACATTTTACAGACTGAAAACCTGGCGTTGAGGAGAATTAATTCAGCACGCATATACGAGTTATTTGAATTTCTATATGTGTAAAACTTCAGTACTGTGGTAATATGTAATAATTGTATATTTGCTTATTGGGTTCGAACCCCAGTGGGTGCGTACTTCTGAAGAATTCCAGACTAGGACGAAACGGCTGTCCTGTACTACCTGCAGATTTTCCACTGGTTCTCTAACTGATATCAGCGCTTAGTGAATCCGCCATCCAATCAAACAAAATCCCTACAATATATGTGTAAACCTTGGGCACTGTGGCAGTAAGTAATTCCATATTAGTTTGTTTATTAGATGTATCACACAGTCAGTGAAACAGTATTATTTACTGGATGACACATTCAAACAGATTTTTGGATTTCCGATCATCCCATCCTATGTCAGTAAAAATAGCATTGGTGAAATGTTTAAGTAACACAGCACAAAAACTAACTAGTACCAAGGAAAATCTAAGACAGGAAGTGAGACATATAAGAGATGCCTTGGAACTTAATAATTACCCTGATAAATTAATCAAGAAATAACTAGGGAAATGTAAAAATAAATAATAATAGTAGTGATAGTAATATTGATAATAACAATTATAATAGTATTACTAATAATAATAGTAATATTAATGACGACATACATGTCAAACATGCGCAAGACAACACCAACAATAAGGAATCTTAATCATCAGCAGTACTTCCATACAAGGAAGGAACCTCGGAAACCTTACACAGAATTCTTAACAAGGCAGGAATAAAAGTGGCTGGAATTCAATTACCCACAAACTCATTTAGAAACATGCTTTGTCGGTTAAAGGGGCAATCCTGTGGAACCTTTAAAACAAAACAATTTAGTTTATGTCATACACTGCAATGATTGTCACGTCAAATACATAGGTCAAAGTAGTAGAACAGGTGCAGTCAGGCTAGCCGAGCATAAAAACCTACCAAAATCTAGATCGGTTGACCCGAGTACGATAAGAAATCTAGAGAATAGTTCAGCTATAGCACTCACTACATGCAATTACACACAACCATACAATAGGCTGGATGGGATAGGATGACAGTTTTAAAATCTAATCTAATGTCACAGGGTGAAGGAAGAGATTCATAACAAAAGCTTTGTCTATCGAATCAATTGCAGAAAAGTGTAATAGGAATGATTCAACACCTGTCCACCCAGATATCTGGAAAATGCTACTGCCCCAACGACAACAAATAGGAGAGGACAAAGAAATCTATGAAACTCAAGTCTCAAAGTCGTGTGATCACAATTGATATGATTATGAACAATAAATTTTGTTCGAAACCTCGTCATCCAGTAAATACTAATACTGTTTCACTCACTGTGTGATATACCTAATAAACAAACTAATATGGAAAATCCCTTCAAAACCAATACTTGAATATTGGATATTTATTACAGTGAAACAGGATTATTTACTGAATGACGTTTCCAGCATAATTTACTGTTCATAATCACATTTATAACCAACCAACTTCGAACCTAAGTTGTTTCTTACTTCACAGTTGTAATCAGAGTAATTCAAGTCTCCAGATGTCCCGGACAGGCGATGAATCATTCCTATTCCACATATTCTCCCCTTTTTCACTCTACAAATAAAGCCTCCGTTGTCACAATCGGTTTCTAAGCAGGTTTGTGAGCTTAACACACTTCAATGAATGTTAGGTCGAAAACACGAATCAAAACAGTAGGACAGGATCAGTCAGACTAAAGCAGCACAAAAAGCTAGCAGCAAAATCTAGATTATTTGACTCTGATAAGATAAGAAATCTAGAAAATAGCTCACCTATAATACTACTACAAAGAATTACACACAACCATCCAATATAGGATGGGATATGATAACAGTCTTGAAATCGAACATAAAAATGGTGGAGGGAGAGATTGATAACTGAACCTGTATTCATGGAATCAACTGAAAATACATGCAGTAGGAATTATTTGACACCCCTCGTAGCTAGATATATTGAAACTTCGACTACTACTCCAGAGAAATGATTAGAAAGAAAAAGTACTATAAAATCAAGTTTCCAAGTTGTGTAGCTATAAGTGATGTAATTATGAACAACAAGTTGTGCTTGAGATGTCAGTCACTCAGCCAGTCGGACTTTCTTGTTGCTAATTCTTTCTGGCTGGTCGACTGGCCATTTGATCTTCAGCATAGAGCCAGACAACGAAGGGGGCGAGCTGTTGATAAAAGTCTGCAGTGGCTTCAAATGAACTGTCGTCAAGATTTGACCGAATAGTTCTAAAATATTTGGGCGCCGAGTGAGAAGTAGATATTTGTAAAAAATTATATTTGTAAAATCTCAGCGATATTGAAATAAGTTTTAATAAGTTTTTAAAAAAAAAGATGTGCCTTTTATATATAAAAAACCTCTGTTATGTTAATTTTGATTAATTTCCCTGAAGAAGTTCGGACCAGATTGCCGAACGAAACGTTGGAATTACTCATTTCAATATCGCTGAGATTTTACAAATATAATTTTTTACAAATGTCTGCAGTGGCTTGTTGGAAATCCTGACCAAGTTTCTGACCCCTTTTAGAAGTAGTGGCTGACTTCATAGGTTTGTCGAAAATCGGAATCTTGTTACTTATACTATGGAGTGCAGAAGATTTCCAAACTGCTTTCAGGTTGATGAAGGCAAGCGTATCTTACCTTTCCGGTTCTGGCCGTCTGGCTGGTTTTGACATCTTCATTCATTCCGACAGCCTGTGGCTGAAATCGTGCTTCCTAGATAAGTGAGGGAAGCAACCACTTTCAAATCTCTTCCGTTGACAATGATTAGTTCTGCTTGTTGTTGGTGGTGGTGGTGCGTGGTGGGTGGGTATCTTAATCACCTACACCTTCTATATGTTCACCTGAAGTCCTGTCTTCACTGACAACCAGTCTGTTTGTTTTCGCCTGCAAGTCTTCGAGGTTGTGTGACACTAGACATATATCATCTGCGAAATCCAGATCTTCTAGAGTCTTCTTATCAGTCGGTGCAGCGTATTTATTCCTTTCGTCTCACTCCCAGCACATAGTCTGACGCATAATCCAGTCCACCACAATTGAGAACAACATCACTAGTGATAACAGGCACGCAGCCTTGTATTACTCCTGAGTTTCCCGTTGTGGATCACGCGACACGTGCCATTCTCATATAGCCAATTTTTGAGTAAGGTTGATCAAGACTTGGGTACTGCACGCCGTAATGTTGAAGTAGTTTCCAAATCACCTCTCAGTCAACTGTGTCTGGTGAAGGCCTTTGCGAAGTCGTTGAATTTGAGGCAGAGGTTCGACTGCCAAATAGTTAGAGTTCCATTGAGTTTTCCCTTGTCGAACGCCTGACACGTAGCCTTATCATATAGCTGTTGAAGTATTGCAAGTGAACCGTGATAGCGTTCATTGGAACGAACACCAAACCTTCGCTTCCTATCACATTTAATAAAAAGCACGACTATTTTTGAGGTAGACCTTAATTAACAGTTGTCTTCGCTCAATACTCAAGATCAGATGGCCATGCTCTGAGGAAACCATCAAGTGACATCCATCACTAGACAAGCCCTCGAGTGGAACCCGAAAGGGAAGCGGCAATTTGGTCGTCAGTGTTAGGGTGACTTGGAGGAGGTCATGCGAAGAGGAGATGAAAACGTGTGGGCAGACTTGGAGCCAAGTGAAGAGTCTAGTAGAGAACCAAACGCAATGGAGAGGCACGGCTGAAGCCTCATGTTCCGCTAGGAACTAAAGGAAACAATATTAATACTTTTTGAAGTGGTACTTCAGCTGAATTCGTCAAAATATTTGTTTAAATATTGCAATAAAATTAAACAGTATAATATAGAAATTAGAATTATTTATTTATTCTTCTCCACAAATTGAAAATAAGGTTTCTTTGTGTCAAAGCATCATTTATGCTTTATTGTATCCAATTACTGAACATATGTGCACTTATGACATAAAAACCTTAAGTGTGCGTCGGTGGCACAGTGGTTAGGACTCTCGCCGACCATGCACATGGTCCGGGGTTCGAACCCCTGCCGGCGCACACCCGATATCTATGGTATGCCTGAATTTGGGCAACCGATATCCATGCTGAAAGTTCCACACTTGTACTGAAAATACGGTGTGGAAATCAAGCTGTAAATCAAACAAAAAAAAGTGTGGATTTTAAATTCAGAAATTACAATTCAAAGGAACAAAATGAAATAATAAACAGTCAGGTTTCTCACAGCGGTATGTGTGGTTGTTTTACTTGTGCTGTTGTCTCTTGATTATTATTATTATTATAGCCGATACACGTGTATACAGAGGCTAACATTAAAAGAGAGCTCCAGTGATTTAAAAAAGAGTCAAGTATTGGTTTTGTAGGGATGATTATTTGATTGCATGGAGGATTTCCTTATGAGCTGATATCAGTTTGACAACCACTGGAAAACCTGGGAGTACTGGACAACTGTTTCGTCCTAGTTAGGGAATCATTAGCAGTACATGCCCAACACGGGGGTTCGAACCGAGGACCTTCCGGTTAATAGGATTGCGAGCTTGTAGACCATTAAGCAGCCACTGGGACCCGATCCCATGGTCCATGAATTCTAACTTCTGCCAATCCATGTCAACTCATCATGAAATCCTCCAACTAATCAAACGAAATCCCTGCCAAAACGAATACTAGAAAAACTGGCAGCGAAATACGCTATAATGCATTGTATTACTGTAACATTGGACTGTGATGCAGAAAGGTTGAAAGAAAACTCCCCATTTTTAGTCCCAGGTGTCTTTGAAAGTTCAATCGAAGATTTGCAATGGAATATTTACTTCTCTGGCATTTTTAAATAACTGAAATGGAAATTAAATTTCAAAACTGCCACACCTTATGTTTAGAAATAGTATTCCGTAATTTTATTCTTTGGTCATAAGTCTTGTCATGAGTTTCACGTCTTTATTTCGCTGTATCTGATTGCACTTGAAACGTGGTATTTGTATGAGATTTTAAATTTTAGTAATAAAATATAGACTCTGGAATATTGGTGATTATTGCGATTCAGTACAGTAATGCGTGAAGGCGTGAAGGATTAAATCAACTGTATTAAGATGTAAGAGTGATTTTGATTAAATATTGTTGTGACTTGACGTCTACCCTTTTTAATTGATTGGAAGATTTCATCATGACCTGACATCAGTTAGAGAATCATTGGAAGTACTGGACGGCTAATGGACATCGAAGGAGACATTGTGAAGTGCTCGCGTTATGTCATGAATTGGCAGAAGTTAGAATTCATGGGCTGGCCATCGGATCACGTCCCATTGGCTGCTTAATGGTCTACGAGCTTGCTAGCCTTGTAACCGGGAAGTCCTCGGTTCGAACTTCTGTGGTGGGTACGTACCGCTGATGATTTCCAAACTAGGACGAAACATTTGTCCAGTACTCCCTGCAGGTTTTCCAATGGTTCTATAACAGATGTCAGCTTATGATGAAATCCTGTAACCAAACCTATGTCCCTTGTGGATAAGATTTTATTTTGATTAATCACACAGTGTTGTACAGTAATGTTAACTGATAAGCACGTTTCGAGCACAAACTATTGCTCATAATCATATCAAGTTGATAAAATCTTATCCATAATGGAGTTATACTCAATCATAGTGCCCAATTTTAATACTTGAATCAAACTTATGTGTTCAAAAGGAATTTGAACAGCCCCTTTCTTCGCCATGGCCAACTATATAATATGTATTAAGTTTTTGAAAACGATTTCCCCCTCTCCCCGTTGTAACTAACTTTTGATTTTGTTAATTTTTACAATTTTACAATTCCAGCTAATTCAATTGACTTATTTATAATTTACGTAACTCTTCTGAGTCATCCTATTCATCTTAGTCATCACTGCTTTTTTACAAATTTTTCGATTGTGTAATGAATGACTTGTTGCCAACGTCTAAGAATCAACTTATCTTGAACTCCGTAATTAATTAATTTTCAACCCTCTTTAAAAACTTAGTCATCTTGTTACTAACAACTATTAGTTATTTGTTTTGATGACCGTTAACCTTTTTATTTCACCCACGCCGCCTATACCTAAAACTGATTAAGTTGAATAACCACTTGACTGGTAAAAATAATTTCATGTAGGAAACGATATGTTAGTGTAGAGCCAGCCAGCCAGCCGATGATGATGAGAAACTAATTGAAGTGAAGGAGTGCAAGATTTCTTCGTTCAGTCTGTTGTTGTTTCTAAAGAAAAATTATTAGAACTGTAATTTGTAGATAGCAGATTTCGTTAATCGATTAGAAACTATAATAAGATTGAATAAGCAAGTTGACTGACGTCATCTAATTACGGGGTTGAGTAGAGCTCAGTTAAAACTAAAATTGAACAAAAGTGAAGTTAACAACAGTGGTAGTAAGGGTTGGAGATTTAATAGGGGGTGAAGGAAACAAATATTATACAATTAAGAAAGAAACAAACAAACAAGAAAGAGACGAAACATAAATTACGTATATGTAGATTTAATGACTGAACAGACTTCCTCTTTTGTATGCAGAGTTCAGGTTTCAATATATGTGAATTGCCGTTGCTTCTGAGGTGGTTTTAAGAAGTTTGATTTGTACTCTTTCAGCAAGATTCCCACGTATTCTGTAGATAACTTTGAAATCTGTTGAAATCTGCAATAGTTCCTATTCAGTGGTTAAGCTGTGAAAAACACCAACCACTCAAGTGGTCCTGACCGACGCACTCCGGAACCTCAAGTAGTCCATATTAGGATTGGTAAAGAAAGAAGCTTGGGTATGCGGCTAGAAACCTAACCCTGTAAGAACTATACGCCTGTTCTACTGAAACTGCAAGACTCCAGCTTGAAAACTTATATATTAGTTTGTTTATTAGATATATCACACAGTCAGAGAAACAGAATTATTTACTGGATGGCGAGGTTTCGAACACAATTTAATATTGTTCATAATCATTTCATCAATTATAATCACACGACTTCGAAACTTGAGTTTTATAGTTTTCTTTGTTCTCCTAACCAAAGGTCAACCAACAGGAACACAAGCCTACAAAAATCTTGAAAAAAATTCATCGATAGCTGCACATGCATGGGACAAAAACCACAATATCGATGGGGACAATGTGTGTATTCTAAAAACTAACATGAACAAATGGAAAGAAAGACTTATAACAGAATCGATATTCATTAAAGTCACACCGGATACATGTAACAAGGGTGACTCACTACAACTATCAACAACTTGGAATATAACTCAAACACAAAAAAACATGAATGAACAAAAATAATGAACTATATATATGAGTACAAATCATAAATGTGTGAATCAAACAATTCCAACAGTGTTGTGAACACGGGCAGTAATTTTGCTCAAAATATTACCAATAGCAAAGCTTATCATTGTGTGTAAACTATTGAAATATAATTATACTTTACTTGATCTAATCCACAATGTTCAAACTTTTTACTGATATTAATTCTTTGTTCTCTCCTATTTGTCATCGTTGGGGTAGTAGAATTTTCCAGATATCTGGGTGGATAGGTGTTGAATCATTCCTATTACACGTGTTTGCAGTTGATTCGATAGACAAAGCTCCTGTTATCAATCTCTCCCTCCACCCTGTGACATTAGATTTTATAACTGTCATCCTATCCCATCCATCCTATTGTATGCTTGTGTGTAATTGCATGTAGTGAGTGGTATGGCTGAACTATTCTCTAGATTTCTTATCTTATTCGGGTCAACTAATCTAGATTTTGCTGCGAGGTTTTAATGTTCGGCTAGTCTGACTGATCCTGTTCTACTACTTTGACCTATGTTTTTGACGTGGCAATCACTTCAGCAGGGTATTAGATATACTGAATTGTTTTGTTTGATGCTCCGTTCAACAGGATCCTTTAACGGACAAAACATGTTTCTAATTGAGTTTGTGGGTAGTTTGAATGCCAGCCACTTTTATTCCTGCCTACCTTGTTAAGAATTCTTCATAGCGTTTCCGAGCTTCCTTCCTTGTATGGAAGTACTGCTGATGATGTAGATTCCTTACTGTTGGTGATGTCTTGCGCATGTTTGACATGCATGTTGTCATTAATATTACTATTATTATTATAAGAAGTTTAGAGAATAGTTCAGCTATACCACTCACTGCATGCAAGTACACACAACCATACAATATAGGATGATGGGATAAGATGACAATTTTAAAATCTAATGTCACAGGGTGGAGGGAGAGATTGATAACAGAAGCTTTGTCTATCGAATCAAATGCAAACACGTGTAATAGGAATGATTCAACACCTATCCACCAAGATATCTGGAAAATTCTACTACCCCACCGACAACAAATAGGAGAAGACAAAGTAAGCTATAAAACTAAAGTTTCGAAGTCGTGTGATTATAATTGATGAAATGATTATGAACAATATTAAATTGTGTTCGAAACCTCGCCATCCAGTAAATAATACTGTTTCACTGACTGTGTAATACATCTAATAAACAAACTAATCTGCAATTACTTATTACCACAGTGCCAAGTTTTACACATATATTGAAACCTTATACTCTGCTCGGAATGCAAAAGAATAAAGTACAGAGAGAGGTAGAGAGTAGATAATCCTATTCGATAAGCCATAGGCTTTCTTTTTCCTTCACGTTCCCCAGTGGAACATAGGGGTTCAAGCTAGTGGCTTGAAGTTTCTGTAGTAGTGTTTATTTTCACAGGATTGGGTTTCTAGCCTCATGCCCAAACTTTCCTCTTTACCAGTCTTATTACTGGCTTAGCGAGGTAAAGGAGTGCGTTGGCGGCCGGGGATCGAACCCTGGACCATGTTCATGGTCAGTGAGCCATAGGCTTACTTAATTTTAAACATGAGTCTGCAAATATCAAAGTGTTACTAACCTCATAATGACATTCAATTTGTTTCAATTGACCAACACGATTTAGTAATTCATAAACCACAGCTACAGCAATTGCACAGTATTCAGGAACAGCAGGAAGAAAATAATTGGTCGCGGCCAGTTCATATTTTTTATGACTATCAGTTGCATTCACCAGTGCCATACTCCCGATGCTTTTCGAAATCTTTTTAATTACAGCATCTGACCATATGCATAAATTAACGGTTAGAACGTGTAGCAGAATAAAACTAAAGACACGTATTCTCACTAAAATTACAATCTGCAATAAATTATTGAAATAAAAATAAAAAAAGAGAAGAGTGAATGAAGAAACGCAGTAACAATGAATAAATGTATCTTTGTAAAAATGAAGCGTGCATTTTCAGATAGATGCAAAACTAAAATTGATGGTTTGTTTTTTTTCACTCATGTTTCCTTTCAAGTGTATTGGTTTCCTAGGGATTTAATTTGATAGTTTGGTGGATTTCATCATGAGCTAACATCAGTTAGACAACGACTGGAAAACCTGCAGGGAGTAATGGACAGCTGTTTCCTTTGTCCTAGTTTGCGACTCTTCATCAGTGCGCACCCACCAACAGGGTCCGAACGCAGGGCCTTCCGGTTACACCGCTGCCGGACTCGCAGACCATTAAGCAGCCACTGGGACGCAATCAAGTGGCCAGCCCATGAATTCCAACTTCTGCCAATTCACACACGACATAGCGCGACCACTTTTTAATGTCTTCTTCTACGGGTAACTGTCCTCACCTTCAACCCGTTGTACCTTCCCAGTGGAAATCAGGTAACTGCCTGAATGGGGCCCGTCGCTAGTGACTATCAGATCAATTTTCAAGTATTGGTTTTTGTAGGGATTTTCTACTGCGTACTGACGAAGAGTCACAAACAAGGACAACGGAAACAGCTGTCCAGTAGCCCCTGCAGGTTTTCCAATGGTTCTCTAACTGACGTCAGCTCATGATGAAATTCTTCAACCAATGATACTGCTTTAAAAAATAACCTTATCAGTTTTGGGAAAAGTTGAGTATTTTTTGAAATTTCAAGGCAAAGTCAACAAAGATTGCAATTGGTTAAGTCAGTCTGTTTACAAGTCGGAAATCAGTTTTGTTCATCTTTGAATCGCAGTTTGGACTAGCCATCATTTGTGGAGATTATGTGATTGCGTTGTGCAGACAGTCATACAGTATTATTATTAGTGTCTACTTTGACTGGACTTTAGTAGCTAATGTGGCGTGTCTAGTCCTTTCTTTGGTGCGGACTGAATTCTATCAGTCAGGTTTGCAATGTGGCCACCATTCTAGGTAATTCGCCATCACGGTGCACACATTGACTTAATGATATTAGATGGTTGGAGGCAATCGGTCATAGGAAGCCCAGCCTGACATAGGTTTCGTGCTAGTTGGCACTCACCAGTCAGTCGGCGAGGCGTATCTGCAACATTGAAGGAACTCATGTGGTCACATTACAAACCTGACTGATAGAATTTAGTCTGCACGAAAGAAAGGATTAGACACGTCACACTAGTTACTAGTGTCCAACCAAAGTACCCACTACGGTCCTACAAGAGGTCAATCGCGAGCCCAAATAGCTCAGTGGTAACGTCTACGACTGCAGCACTGGCTGACGTGCGCTCGAATCTGAGAAGGGACGTGAGTTCCTTCAAGGTGGTTGCAGATACGCCTTACTGACTGACTGGCGATTTGCACCCGCCAGATGTAAGATGATGTTACAGGATTGGACTACACCGACTCCTAGTTTAGAAATGGAGAGGGAAGTGGTAGAGCACGTTGACCGTTTCACTTATTTGGGAAGTACCATCAGCCCCAACGGGTTGATCTCTGACGAAATCTCAACATCGATACAGAGTGCTAGTTTCGCATAGGCCAGTTTACACCGTCTCTGGAGTAGATGTGATATCCGCCTGGCTATCGACCAAAGGGTGGGTGTACTGCCCATCAGTCCGCTCCATCCTGTTTATGGCTGTGATACCTGGCCATTGAGAGAAGAAGACATGAAAAGATTAGCTGTCTTTGATCATAGGTGCCTGCGTTCTATCTTCCGTGTGAAGTGGTATAATAAGGTGAGCAATATTGACCACATTGAAATAATCGATTTAGGCGGATGAGAAACAGATACTGTCTGTTTTATGCATGGAATTAGTCAGACGAAAAGACAGCGGGACATTTCACTGTGGCTATAGTTGAAGGAAGAAGCAGCAAAAGCAAAAAGAGAAGAAAGAGGTGATGAGGATATCTAACCAGTGACAACAGCAAGCATCAATCACTCAACGGGAGAAATTTGAAGGAGGTTATCTCTTTCACCCGTTTGCGCAGCACTGTTTCAACTACTGGTGACACAGGCGAGAGTTTCAAAGACACGATTGGCGAAGCAAAATAGACCTACATTAATGAAAATGAAACACGTAGAGTCTGTTTTCGGCGAATTCATTTTCCTAGCTGTACAAACGCAAATATATATGTGTTACTTTGTATGTATGTGTACATTAAGTTTATCAAACATAAATACAATTGGTTATAGTTATTTAAACTAAACAGGTGAACATTGGTTGTTGGAGTTACGTAATACAAAATCAGTCAAGAAAATTAGGTGTTAATGAAATTAGGGTAGTAACAAAGGTGATGAGTTGTCACAAACAGTTGTTAAAAAAGAACTTATGTTATAATATGAATAGTTTGATGAGTGAGTTTTACTCAGGATGCACATAGGAACAAAGTAGATAGTGCGAAATTACGTAAGAGTTCTGAATGAATAGGAGAATTATAAGCGATTAAAGAACAGGCGAAGAAACAAAATTAAGTCATCAAAATAGAAAAATCAAATCAAAAAAGTTGTTACCAACACAGTAGAAGTGGTTGCACAGTTCTATTTTGTATGAACGACTCCGGTTTTGCTATGTGAATGGTCAGCCCATTAGCGATACAAAAAAGACGAAACCCTATTGCCTTTGGTAGGTTATTCTTGACTGTGTAGATTACTTTGAAGGAGGCGTTTGTTGAAACGGAATGATAAGTGTTAACCAAGTGTTCAATTATCACACTCCTTATTGCACCATTATTGCCTTTTCGCAACCATGCTTGATAGTGTTCTTGAATCCTCTTGGACAGGGTGCGCGTCGAACGACCGATGTACCTGGCTCCACTATAGCAGGTGAACTGATATGTGCACATAGAAGTGGTCAGATGCGGGATCTTGTCCTTGAGGCTTCTGCAGATCAGTGGGCGACTGGAGAACACTATTCTAAGCGCTGCTGCAAAGAATGTTCTTCTCAGAGATGATGTGATCCTTCACTTGAGAGTATCGCTTGCTAAATCTTCCTTGAAATCCAGGTTCATGTAGAGTTTCTTTTTTGGCGCAATTAAAGTTTCGTTTCTCCAAATTCTTGGTTTGATATTTTTGCCGATGAATCTTATTGGGTATCCATTTTGGATGAAAATTTCTCTTAGAATATCTAATTCTGTTTCTAGAACGTTGGGACATCAGATGCGTCGGGAGCGGTTGGCAAGTGATTTAATTAAATTCCGCTTTTGTTGAATGGGTACCCAGCTATAGAAGCTTGTTAGTTGACTATTCCAAGTAGGTTTTCTATGGATTACGTAAAATAACTGTGACCAATTGTATTTTTGTTTGACAAACTTAATGTACACATACATACAAAATAACACATATATATTTGCGATTGTACAGCTAAGAAAATGAATTCGCCGAAAACAGACTCTTCACTGATCTACGTGTTTTGTTTTTATCAATGCCTGGATGGGGATCATACATGAATTGAGACCTACATTAATCTGAAATCCCTTTGGAAGTCTATTGCACTTAACATAAAAAAAGACAAGAAATGAACTTCCGACACTAATATCAAGTTAGTTCTTAGTTAGTGAATAAGGGACATGGTGAGACCATCCATCACCCCCCCCCAAAAGTGTTTTGCAACAGCCTACTGCAGACGTTCAAAAACAGCTGAGTCTGCTGGCTCCACAGTGAAGGTCTGATGGTTAGCAAGAAAGGAAAGATAGTAATGTAATGTGGCAACGAGCCTAAAGAAGAACATATTACCCAAGAAATATGTCTAAGAAAATGGAGATGAGCTTGACATTTACTGTAGAGACCATCGAGTGACATCAGGTGGCAGACCATCCAGTGGAATCCGATTTTATAAGAGATGACGAATGGAGATAAAAGATTATAGCTAAGCGGCAAGCCGACTGAAAAGAGGTGCAGGGAACGGAGTGAAATGCGGATATGTCGTTTAAGGCCTATGTTCCACTGCAGATCTAAGTCCATCATTACCTGATAGCGTTTTAGTGAATACAATAATTACAGAATCTTCAAAACATTCAGTCCTGACACTGAATTCATTGGTCAGTGTGTTTCAAACTAGTATCTCTGCTTAGGGTTACTTCATTCACTTATCTAGGAAGCATTGTCTCAACTACAGGAGGAACGAACGAGGATGTCAAATCGAGAATCGGGAAGGCGAGAAACACATTCATCAACCTGAAACCAATCTGGAAATCTTCGTCACTCAACTCAGCATCAACAACAAAGTGATTCGGATTTTCAATACAAACGTCAAGTCAATCAGTTCTTCTATACGGATCAGAAACTTGGCCAGTGGGTCACAAAGAATATTTCCAACAGCCTGTTGCACACCTTTATCAACAACAGCTGTCTTCATTCTATACTGAAGATCAGATGGCCGGAAAGAATTACCAACAAGAAAATATGGGAAGAAATAAAAGAAGAACCAATCGTCCAACAAATATGCAGGAGACAGTGGAGATGGATTGGACACTCGCTGAGGAGGCCGCTGGGTGACATCACACGTCAGGCCAGTGCTCGAGTGGAACGCGGAAGGGAAGCGGTGAGTGGGACGTGCAAGGGTGACATGGAGGAGGTTGCGTGAAGAGGAGTTGAAACAGTACGGATTAACATGGATGCAAGTGAAAAGTACAGCAGAAGACAGAAGCAAGTGGAAACGTGCAGTTGAAGCCTTTATGTTCCAATAGGAACCCAAGGGAACTATAATAAGTAATAATAATCTCTACTCAGTAATGTCGATGACTAGAAAAAGAGAATGTCGACATTATGTGTTCATTTAAGTTTCCATACTCCCTTGGCGTGAGATGTAAAACATTTTCTGCTTCAAAAGACTCTCCATTAAAACACAGATAACAGATGTTCAAAATAACTCCACACCTGTATACATCTGTGATACTATAAATGTTAGATCATGTTCTAAATATATACAAACAAAATCCATAGAGAAGGAATGTCGATATATATATATATATGTATATATGTATACCAGCAAAACAGTATATTAAATGATACTTACACGATGCAAAAGTAACAAGAAGACAGTCTGTGTGATGAAAAATAAAATCTTGAAAAAAGTGTAAACACCTGATGCAGCATCGTGCGGGTATTTCGTTACAACTTCATAACATCGTGTTGCTGTATAAACAATGGACATGGCGGCAAACACTAAACGGGGACAAAAAAAAGAATTAAACAACAACAATACAATAACAGCAATCATGGAATATGTGCAGTTGCCTACGACAACAATTAAATGGCTACAAAACTACTGACTGACTACGGCTTTCGACCCACTTACAGCATAATTAACATATTGCTGAATTATCTACAAATAGAGCAGGGGTGTTCAGCTGGTTGATGAAAGATATCCTTAAAAATTGCTGGATATCCAGAGTAAAAGGAATATTTCACAGAAATTCATTTGGTTTGAGGATATCATGATGAGCTGACATCAGTTAGGGAATCACTGGAAAACCTGTAAGGAGCACTGGACAGCTGTTTCCATTGTCCTAGTTTTGGATTTTTCAGCAGCCTACCATTCCTGACGTGGGTGGGTGGCTGCTGGGTTAAACTGACTGTTGTGGATTTCATTGACTGATGAGGTCATGTTTCGGTTTGACCACTACCACCACCACTGGCCAGCTCTCTTCCGACCTGGTCCACCCTATGTCAGCTAACATTGTCCGTAGTCAAGGAAAGCGATGGATGGCTGGTCATGCATGCGTAACACACGTCTTAACCGTCTCTCTCAATCAGTGTAACTTCACAACCTCAATATCTTCCACCGTAATATGCCACCTAACACACGGGATATAGAACGCAGACACCTATGATCGAAGACAGCCAGCTAGGTTTTTCATGTCTTCCACTTTCAGTGGCCATGTCTCACTCACAGCGAGCCATAAAGGAGAACGGAGCGGACTGCTGAGTAGTGCACATGCCTTTTGATTGACAGGCAGTCGGCTATTCCGTCTAGGCCAGAGACGGCGTAAACTGGCGCATATCTGCCAAATGAGCCTTCTGTATCTGTGCTGGGATTTCGTCGGTGATCAATCCCCCCTTGTTGGCTGATGTAATTTCCCAAATAAGTGAAGTGATCAACACGCTTTATCGCTTTACTCCTTATCTCCAAGCTGGGAGTCAACGTAGTCTAGTCGTGTAGCATCATCTTACATGTGGCAGGCGCGAATCACCAAAATAAAGGTAAAATTAAATACCGTTTAAATTTCTGTTGTACATCATTAGAAAGCGTCTCATCCAAATTGTGTAAAGCATTTTTGGGTTAAGAAAAATATTTTCAAGTATCTTTTTTGTTTGATTGCTTGGAGGATTTCATCATGAGCTGACATCAGTTAGAGAACCACTGGAAAATCTGGGAGTACTGGACAGCTGTTTCGTCCTAGTCTGGAACTCATCATCAGTACTGCTGAAGAGCAAGCAAGCTAGCAAGCTCATAGACCGACAAGCCACTGGAACTCAATCCAGTGGTCTGCGAGCTAACTAGCCTTGTAACCAGAAAGTCCTGGATTCGAACCCCGATAGTTGCGCACTGCTGAGGAGCAGGCTGCAAACAAGGGAAACAGAAACATCTGTCCAGTACTCCCAGGTTTTCCAGTGGTTCTCTAACTGATGTCAGTTTATGATGAAATCCCCCATGCTAGGAAAAATATTCACAAACGTAACGGGTTATGAACCACATCATCACAGTCATATTGACAATCACTAAAAGTCACTCATACTTTAGCGCGAGGAATCTGAACATATCAGTCACAAAGTGTTCACTTCAAAAGAAGAGAATTTCGAATTGCTCGTTTGCATAGTGATTATCAAGCAGAACAGCACAATATTTATTTGCCAGCCATGATGTTAATGAATTAAAGAGACAATAGCTTAGAAACAACTTCATGCATTAGCTAGGGGTCGCGCCTTGTCGTGAATTGGCAGAAGTTAGAATCCATAGGCCATTGGATCGTGTCCCAGTGGCTTAAGGGTATACGAGCTCACCTTGTAACCAGAAGGTACTGAGTTCGAACCCCGGTGAGTGCGTACTGTTGAAGAGTCCCAGACCAAGACGAAACAGCTGTCCAGTACTCCCTGCAGGTTTTCCAATGGTTCTCTAACCAATGTCAGCTCGTGATGAAATCCTGTAACCAATTTCTTCTTTAGAAAATCTCTCAGTACGTTTGTGATGCGTTTTTGAGTTGCATCTGTCTTGTCTTTCTGGCAGTCGTCGACTTTAAACCTCAATGGGTCATTCAGCACAGTTTTCATCTTTGCGATGTAGGCATCTTTATCCATTTCAACCACTCCTGAGCCTTTGTTAGGTCGCAGTATGACGATTTCGTCATTATTTCTGACAGCTTTCAATGCTTTTTGATGCTCTTCAGAGAGGATTTCGGAATATGACGTTGGTGAAATGAGGTATTGATTTGCAACGTCGACCAGCTTAGATTTGAACCCGCTCTTCTTGTGCTCAGCAACTGGAATAAGGTCATTCAGTTGATAGAATAGGTTTTCGAATTGAGCTGCGACATCAGTTCTTTTGACAAATTTATTCGGGATATAGAAGTTAAATCCTGGTAGCTGGATGTCTTTATTCTCTCATCTGATTCCGTAATCTTTGTCTTTAACCTCACCGCCTTTTATAATCTGTAATTTTGCTTGTCTCTTGTTTCTATGATTTGAGTTGAATTCACTACATTGTTACCTGATTTATTAGTCACTCTGCTTCTTACGCATCTCTCGTCTTTATTACGTAACTCCTCTGTAACCCTTGTATGCATACATTTATTTTGTTTAAACTTGGACTGTCTGTGTAAGAACTATATAAGCGCAATTTTCTGAGCACTGTTCACTAATTGTGGAACTTTCTGTCAACTGACAGCATGTAAAATTTACAAGTATGCTAAAATGTCTCTGTACGTAAACCTCATAATTTATATAGGCTGTGAGCATCTGATTAGAAGCCAACGAAATGAATGATGGCACCATATTATTCTGCACAAACCACTGTTGGTCTTGCTTTATTTAAAAACAACTTAGGTTGGCTGAAAGCTATTGAATAACTGAAGACTATAAAAGGACGTCAAAGAAATGAAGTCTTACTGGGACCAGGAAACACCAGTTGGTTTCCAGTTCCTATTCCAGGTTTGGAAGAGAGATTCCACACTGTGAAATAGTTGGGAAACAGCGAACCTTTGGTGAAAATTTTCTTCAAATGCCTAAAATTATATTAGATGGTTAGAGGCAGTCGGCCATAGGGAGCGCAGTCTGACAAAGGTTTCGTGCTAGTTGGCACTCACCAGTCAGGAAGGCGTATCTGCAACCTTGAAGGTCACAAGCTTGAAAAACTCAGTGGTAACGTCTCTGACTGCAGCACTGGGTGACGTGCGTTCGAATCTCGGAAGGGACATGACTGTTCCTTCAAGGTTGCAGATACGCCTTGCTGACTGACTGGTGAGTGCTAGCTAGCACGAAACCTAGGTCAGGCTGTGCGTCGGTGGCACAGTGGTTAGGACTCTCGCCGACCATGCACATGGTCCGAGGTTCGATCCCCTGCCGACGCACACCCGATATCTACGGTGGGCCTGCACAATTTGGGCTACCGATATCCATACTGAAAATGCAATACTTGTACCGAAAATACGGTATGGCATCAAGCTGTAATCAAAAATAAATAAATTCCTATGGCCGATTGCATCCAACTACCTAATATCATCAAATCAATGTGCACCGTGATGGCGAGCTACCTAGAATGGTGTTCACATTGCAAACCTGACTAACAGTATTCAGTCTGCACCAAAGAAAGGACTAGACATGCCACACAAGTTACTGGTGTGTAATCAAAGTACCTAAAACTATCTAATGCAAGTGTTGGTACTGTGGTACTGTGGAAGAATGCAAATCCATACCTCCATATACATGAAAGTGATGTGATCATCAGTAATAATTTGTGCTCAAAAAATTGCCCAGTTATCAGTACTGCATCACTACGCGTTATTTCAAATAAACGTATCTACTATGGAACAAAAAAATACAAAACTGACACAAATACTTCTAAAAATAGAAACCACAGACAACGAAAATACTGACAAACACTCACTTTTAACACAAAGTGACGAACACATATGGCCTGTAACCGAGTTTTGTAACATTGGTTACTGTGAAGAACGTTACTATGGTTAACTGTTTTTTTAACCATGTAGGGTATATACAAATTTTTCTGAAATTTGTTTTTCAAACTTGACTAATCAATTAAAATTGTACAACTTAATTCAAAAAGTTTTAGATTTTCTGGCATTCGCATAATCTATTTTTTTTCACGTGATGTAAGGTGAATTCTGAGTCTTGAAAGCAGATATTTTTGTGTGATTCGACTATGATTAACACCGTAGTAGTAGCAGTAGTAGTAAAAAGTATAAACTTCAAATAGGCAGTGGGTTAGTGATATTTGAAACCAAGCCTCCGCTTATTCTATTATGTAGTTCGCTTACACTCTTATACTCACTTGACTACGAAATGAAATTCAGTAAATGCAAATATATATACATATATATGTACACTTACTGGCCATGTAAAAATAAGTAATATCAAGTTATGCGGCTTTAGGCATTGACTATAGTTGTGTTTCTTTTATGAGTCCAAATAAGTATAAAATTTGGGCGCTATGGTGGTAGAGTATAAGTCCATTATGGATAAGATTTTATTTTGATGAAATCACGCACAGTGTGCTATACAGCAATATTAACTGATGACCACGTTTCGAGCACAAACTATTGCCATTCATAATCATACCAAGTCACTCACACAACGTTTTCCTTCATTTATATATAGATGAGTGAAATTGATGATTAGACATTTGAATAAAATATCAGAAATAATAATATGAATGTTAATGATCAATTACAATCAGTTGGGAAATAAGACGAGTGTTTTTATAGTCAAAATAAGTAACCTGTTAGAATGTTGTGATATGCTTGAATCGAAATAGAATTTTGAGATTATTTATTATCCCCCTCTGATTTGACTGACTGGTGGTAATGATATCTTCCATACATATTTCTGGTATTTGCATTGAGTTATTCTTATTGCATGTGTTGGGTGTAGACTTAATGAACCAGGATTCAGTAATCAATCTCTCTCTCCACCTACATAGATTACTTCTT